TATTTATTTAATTCATCATTTTTTATTTAAGTCCACTACATTTTACTTCTCTTTAACTGCTGCACCAGTAACCCAATTTCGAGCTGCTGCCAAATTCTACCTTTCTCACTGGTCTTTGCCTACATATTTACATAATTACATTGCCCTCGTGTCTGTGGGTTCCTTATCAAAGACCATCATGCGTTTAAGTAGGCCATTAAATTTTATTTATCTTTGTCCAAAAATTCTTTATGTACTTTTTTATTTTTTTTTTTTAATCTAATAATTGCATTTTTTCTGTTTTTTCCATTGCAGCTGGTTAGACCTGTTCCTACATCTATGGAGTTTCATCTAGACAGTGCAGAATACTGCCAAGCACAGCACAAATAAAAAGTAAGTACACAATATGCTAAACAAAATTATGACAAATTTGTGCACACACTTAAAGCAATATTTTAATGGAAATTGTGTTATTGGAGGCCTTAAGTTTAGTATAAAAAACAATTTTGTGTTTTGATAGGCTTGATATGACATTATGGAATGAAGACGAATAAATAAATAGTTTAATAACAGGTTGTATTATCAAATCGGAAAGTTGGTTATTCAAGTCTTGGGATACGAGTCTAGTGCCAGCACTTTTAATACCCAAAACATTAACCCAAATGGCTTCAGTCGATCCAAAAGAGATGTTGAGATCCACTCGAGGCGGATGAACAACACTTATGACGTAAAGTTCGATGACTTCATGACCTTCACTGAATGCTTTATGCCACTGAAATATGTGTTTTTATGTTAAAGCAGACTCTCCGAAACACTTTTGATTCCACTGGAGAACAAAAATTGTATGCAAAGTCGTTGTTATTATTTTTTCACGGTAAAAATCACCAGAAACGCGTTTTGCGTCTAAAACAAACAAATGCCAAACTCACGCTAATTAAAAAGTGGACAACTTTTTTTTGTAGCAAAAATAAATACAGTGTACACGACCCCAGTTTAAGTGTGATTCATATTTGTTCTGATAGTATATTAGAAGCTTTATTTTATACATGAATATGAAATCATTTGACTGAACTGCTATATCTAGGCAAAGCTCAGTTAGCCGCAGTGATAGTCATCCTAACTGAACACTGTCCGAATGACACTAAAGGTTAGGCTAAAGATTTTTGAGAACCTAAAGTACGAAGTTGCAATCATGAAGATGTCTAGCTCTCGCTGGACTAAGGGGCGCGTTTGTCATACCGGCGAACCCGGCGAATTGCCTGGAATGTATTTCAGCCGCCTCAATAAATTGATGGCAGATTCTTGGCATTTTTTCGGTCCGATGGGCTTTTTGATCTATAACTAGCAGCTCTGGTCACCACAACGGACAAGCGTCTATAGCAGTCCAAGTGGAACTGACCTCACGAATAATCATCTCATTTACCTAACCTAACCAAGAATGCCACTTAACTGAACTAGACTTGAACTACCTAAAGTCCTTAGGATTATACGTTAAATAATTGTGTTATTTCAAATTTCTTTCATAAAGCTTAAGATCCAGCTCTCAAGATATGGAAAAATTTCATGTGAAAAAACGCTTAAGAAATTATCAAGAAAATTTTCTGCAGCTCTGAAGAAATCTAGTACTAATTTTTACTAGATTTTTATATCACTTTTTCTTTGATAATATTTTATGTCATATAACTTTGCTTAACTTTTTCTCTGACAGTTTAGTTACATTAAAAAATATGGAGTTATCTATTATTCTCCTCAATCCGAAAAGGTGTGCGAAATTAAAATATTTAAAAACCACGAAAGCCTTATGTATTTATAGTACTTTATGCTCGCTTATACATATTTGGTTGTCAAAAAAGTCTTGCAGTATTTTCGCTAGTTGGCGCTGCGAGCGCGTAGTTCTAGTTTTATTCGTCGCATCGGGTCATGCTATACCTTTTTGGAAAGCTCATTTCACGCGCTAACACTTGTTTGATTGATTGTCGTTTGTTTTAAGTCGTTCGTGAGTTATAGCGTCGCAAACATGGAGCAAAATAAAGAGAAAATACGGCATATTTTACAGTACTACTACGATAAAGGCAAAAATGCATCTCAAGCCGCCAATGAAATTTGTGCAGTTTATGGACCCGATTCAGTTTCCATTTCCTCCGCATAACGATGGTTTCAACGTTTTCGTTCTGGTGTAGAGGTGGTCGAAGATGCGCCACGCTCCGGAAGGCCTGTCGTCGAAAATTGTGATAAAATCGCTGAATTGGTCGAAAGCGACCGACCTAGTAGCAGCCGTAGCATCGGTCAAGAGCTGGGCATGAGTCAACAAAAAAAATTTTATGAACAATTGAAAATTCAATAAAAAAAATACCGCAAGACTTTTTTTGACAACCTAATATGTATTTGTATAAATAGATGTTTGTTGTAGCTGGCAAGTTAATATCTATATGATAAATCAGTTTAAATTAACCATTTAATTTAACAAAAACAATGTTGTGCTACCAACAAATCAATTATAAACAAACATAGTTGCATTTATTTCGGACCGAGTTCTTCACAGCAACTAAGCAGTCAACTGGGTGGAACAAGAATAATTAAATGCAAATATTTTGCATAAAGTAACAATTTAATGCAAATTTAGTTAGGAGGATGGTTGGATAAAGGTCGGATTTTTCATATAAAACAGATAAAATGCAACACTACTGCTACTATAGCGATAAAATCAGAGCTGTCTCATACATACAACTAGTATTTGTTAAGGATTCAAAAGAAAGAAAGAATAATGAAATTGGAAAATATTTACATATTTGTATAGCAGATATTTTCGATAGTAACCACAAAGTAGCATCTGATCAAATTTGACCCGGACTAGTCCATTGAAACTGTGTGCGCAAACCGAATCTATTATTGTTTTCTTAATTTGGGATTATTTTTTTTCTGTTCATGTGAAGCTTGTCAGTCCGGTTCAAATTTGATCATAGTATATTTAGAAATTATGGCAATATTTTAAATAATCTGTCTTACAGCGCTATCTTTTTTCTGTTCATGTGAATTTTGAATACCATATTATTCAGTCCGGTTCAAATTTGATCATGGTATATCTACAAATTTTTGGCAATATTTTATAGTAATCTGTTTCACGGATCTATCGTTTTTCTGTTCAAGGAAGTCACATCGTTGCTCATTTCGGCGAAATTAAAAATTTGTTTCACAAATCACTGAATTCAGAAGACGCCCACTTACTATACATTTAGTACACGCTTACACCAGAGTATTATCAGTCATCTAAAGACGTTTGAGTAAAAGATTTGGCAACAATATGGCAGTTGTCTGCCATAAGATATTTCTGCTCGAAATTAAATAAAAATATAATGCAAATTGAATTATAAATAGCATTATTAATTGCTTTTCAACAACATTACAGTCATCTTTACAAATTTCGGCTTCCATTCTAAATTGCTGCAAAAAGATTTTTAAATCTCTTCCCATATTTCTAAATTTCTGAAATGTACTTATTTTTGCAAATTTCTTAAATTTAAAAATTATCGCTTTTAATCTGCATTTCACTTATTGCTTTTACTTCATTATAGCTACATTTGTGTGTAAGCGTGCATTTGTTTAATAGATTTAGCTCGTGTTCGCCATTTACATAATTTAGTCGCTCATATTTGGTGACGAAAGGTCAGCGAATGTCAACTCATGCCAATAATTTCCATTTGAATATCTTTCTACTCTCGCAACAAAGTTGCTAAAGAGAGTATTATAGTTTTGTTCACATAACGGTTGTTTGTAAGTCCTAAAACTAAAAGAGTCAGATATAGGGTTAT